GGTCAAAGCCTCTTGGGGCCTCGTCTGTCCTGTCGGAACCTCTTGAGGGCATCTAGGAAGAAAAAATTGAAGCTTCAAAAACTCATCGGGGGTGGAAAATGCAAGCGATTATGCCGATCCGCCGTGTTTCTGAATCTCATAGCTTCTCGGGCGCCTCCTCAGGGGATTCTTGAAGACTCCTTTGGCTGTTGGGAACGCATTCGGCCGCCTGGAAGGCATCGCGAGCTGTCTTGGAACAGTTTCTGGCCATCTCGGGGGCCTCCTGGGATGTGCTGGGTGTTTCTTGGGGTTCTCTTGACCTGTCGGAGCGCATGCTTGTGCTGATTGGGATTATCTTGGGGGCCTCTTGCGAGATCACTGGGGCCTCGTGGGGGCCCGTTCGATCCTGTCGGAGCCCCTTTCGGGCGCGGGGCGTCTCGGGGGCAATCTTGAGGTCTCGGACGACCATATGGTGCCAAACAATAATCAAGTCAAAAGGTGCTCGCCTTGGGAATTTTTGGCGGCGCATTTCGAACCGGGGGGTGGGCCCCCCCAACGCTCGGCGCCTTCAAGCAGAACCGGGGGGGCTCCCCTCCCCCCCCCCCTACCCCCCCCCCCCCCCTCCCGACCCCCCCCCCCGCGCTGGCGCCAGCGCCGGCGCCGCTGGCCGCCGCAGCGCCAACGCGCAGCGACGATGACTGGAGAGGGCTCAGGAGGGGGGGGGTCAACCTCACCCCCGCGCGCCGGCGCTAGCGCAGGCGCTGGCGGCGGCCAGCGGCGCCGACGGCGGGGGCGCAGCGACGACGACAAGAGAGGGCCCACAAGCCGCAGGGGGAACGCACAAATCGCCACATCGAGCCCTCGCGCGTTCCTCAGACGCCCCGGAGACCCCGCTGACGAGACCTCGAGCGGCACCCACTAGAACTCTGACCCCTTGCCAAAGCACAGCGGCGGGAGGAGCCGAAAGCCGCGCCACCGCCGCTGCCGCCATCGCCGCCGACGCAGACCCGCGCGCTGCTTCGCCGCAGTGAGCTTCTTGCTCTCGCCAGGGACTCAGCGCCGCAATGGGGCGCGAAGCGCGGGGGCGCGCCGAGGCGGGGCGGGGAGTCATCGGATGCGTGAGAGGGGGCGCGCGCCCGGAGCACGCGATTGGCCCGGCGAGCGCGCCCAGCCATCCGACCCAATCCCTGGAGGAAAAAGGCGACCACCGCGAGTCGTCTCCTGGATAGCGCCACGCCCCCGATGCGTGATCAACATCGGAAGGCCAATCACGCGCGCGACGACGCTGACGACGATCTAGAGACTCGCATGACCGGAAGAGACACAAACGCAGTCGGCGATCTCGCGCGGGGCATCGATCGGGGCCACCGATCAGCGTCGCTGAGCACGCGGCAGCGAAACGGATCGACATCCCCGACGCGGCCGCGCCCCAGCCAAGCGCCGCGCTGCGCTGCGCCTCTTCAGTCCTCCACACAGAGTGGCACTCGAACCTGTCTAGGAACCGCCGCCTGCCCTCTGCTCATTCCGCCTCCATCTCCCGCTGGCATCGCATCCACTTTGCACGGGGAACTGCGGCCGGGGTGAAATGGTCCCGGGGTCCGGCTGGCAACGGCGAGCGCAATTGCGCAAATCCTTCCACTTCAGCATTCTCCTCTGTCAGATTGTCGCTGTGCGCCGTAGCCGAGAGTCGCATTAACGCTCGCTTGCGCATCGCGGCCGCTTCCAAGTCCTGCAGGCGCGAAGGCGACTGGGGCCCGTCGAAAATGGGGGCGCGAAGCGCGGCGGCCAGCCGCTGGCCTCGGGCCACGGCTCGGGCGCAGCTCGGGTCGACCTTGAACTCGATGGCCTGGGCCTTCCTTGCTGCGCCCGGCGAGCGCGGCAAGCAGGGGGGGCGCTGTGCCTGCGCGTCGTTCATGTCTAATCGTGCTCATGTTTAACTGCGCCCGCTTCTAATTGTTCCTGGCCCCCCATCGGCCAGGAAGAGGCCAAGGATGGAACAGTTAGAAATGACGAGATCTTGGCCCCCCACAAAATCGAAGAACGCTCGAAGAATTAGTCATGAACAACGTGCACTCCTCTCCCCCATCTCTCTCCTGGCACCTCCTTGGCCCTGCGCCCGGCTATCTCCGACGCCAGTGGCGTTCTCTGCCTGGCCCACCTCCTTCTCTGTCTGCTCCTCCGCCTCGTCCTCCCTCCTCCTGCCCCCCCCCCCCCCCCCTCCTTCCCCTCGCCCATCAAACGGCTTCGGCCATCTGCCCCCTTCTCCTCTTCGCCCCATCCTCTCAGCCACCCTCTGCCCCCCCCCCCCCACCACCACCGCCGCCACCACTCCAGCCTCCCGCCGGCGCCCTGGGACGAGGGGCTTCTCGGCCGAGCAGACCTACGTGGCGTAGATGTACCACGGCATGTCTTTCAGGACTGGGTGGTCTCCGCGACGCAAACAATCCTCGACGGGCGCCGCAGCGCGCGCGCGCCTGGCCCCCATCGCCGCCCATGACCTCCACCGTCGCCGCCTCTGCCTCGCGCAAGAAGCGCTGCAGTGCAACTTTGCAGCCGTCCTTCTAAGACCCCGACAAGTTCTGGCTCTTGACGGCCGCGTCGCAGTCGCACGCTGATTGCCCCCCCCCCCCCCCCCCCCCCCGCGCCCGGCGCCGCCCAGGTGCCGGTAAAGCTCCGCGCCGCCACCCAGACCCACGGGCTCCCATCCCACGAGCAGGTAAGATATAAGACTGGCCTGTCTTTCGTGAAATACCTCGAACCAACTCCGCAGGCGTTCTTGATGTGTTTGCGCCGCGCGGCCCGGCCGAACTTGTTCCGCCGTGTCTGCGCTGCGAGAAGGACCGCCCTCTTGATGAGCACCTTCCAGCGACGATGGGAGAACCGCGACATGGCGTGGAACGCGGCTGGCGTCAGAACCTCGCCCGCGCTCCATTCTGTCGGATCCACCATGGGAAGAGTTACTGCTGAACGCTCTCCGCACGTCGGCATCGTCACCCCTCCTCGACGGCCAGTGCCCTGGATCAGCAGCTCGCTCGGCGGCGGCAAGTCGTGCGACCATGGTCCTCGTGACCAACAACAGTCCGTCTCCGCTGGCTCGGCGGGCAGCCGAGCGCGAGGGACACCGGCGGAACGAACAGAGGTAACGAGCAGACCTGCTAGAGACCACTGCGGGGTGAAGGCCGGCATGGGCGTGGACTTCATGGACGTGGCCTGCGCGGGCGCGGCAGCGCCGACGTTGTCGGCGTCGCCCACTTGCCGAACTTTCACCGGCGTCGAGCCAACATCTTCCTTCGCGTCCCCCGGCTGATCAGCGGCAACCCCGCCAGATGAGGGGTTCAGCAAGTGCCTCATCAATCACAACCTCCAGCCATCGTCGTTTACTCCTTTACTCAACTCGTTGTAACTGGTGACAAGAGTATGAGGCCACCACCTGGCGAGTTGCTGACGATAAGCAAGAAATGCGCTTCGGACCACAAAGTCTCCTCGCGCATACTTGTAGCCGCACAATCCGGCCAGACGGACCACGAAGGCCATCCCAAATATCGCGCCCTTCAGCGCCAAACACGGAGGTGGCAGGGCGGCGATGGGAATTTTGGGCGGCAAGAAATGTGACCCAAATGTCGGACTGCGGAAGCTCCTCACCCCATGCGCGGCCCTCTGGCGTCAAGAAGTTGTTTCGCCTGACGCGCCCTGGAAGCCTAAAACAGAGACCCCCCGAACTCGTGCAACGACCTGCGATCGTGTGACGGATAGAGGCCGCGTTGGGGAACCACCCTCTGCACACCCCGTGTGGTGTTGAGAAAAACCGATTCCTGCCACGCCCTACGAGCGCGTCGCGGGTAGAAACCGCGCTGAGGGATCACCCTCTGCGAACCCCCTTGCGGCGTCGAGAAAATGCCATACCTGCCAAGCCCTGCGAGCGTGTCACGGGTAGAAGCCGCGTCAAGGGATCACCCTCTGCGCACCCCCTGCGGTGCCGAGAAATTGTCATTCCTGCCACGCCCTGCGAGCTAGAGGGCGCGCTGAAGGACCACCCTCTCCGGACCCCGTGTGGTGTCGACGAAGTGGCACTCCTGCCACGCAGTGCGAGCGCAACTCGGATAGAGGCCGCGCTGAGGGACCACCCTCTGAGCACCCCGTGGTGAGAAAATGCCATGCCTGCCAAGCCATGCGAGCGTGTCACGGATAGAGGCCGCGCTGAGGGATCACCCCCTGCGCACCCCCCGTGGTGTCGAGAAAGTGCCACTCCAGCCACGCCCTGCGAGTGTGTCACCGATAGAGGCCGCCCTGAGAGACCACCTTCTGCACAACCCCTGCGGTTTCGAGAAAGTGCCATGCCTGCCATGAACTGCGAATCCTACACGTATGTTGGTATATGGCGTCGCATGCGCATGTGAATGATGCGTGTGCGGCCGTATTCTGAAGTGTGTCTCATGTAGGTGCCCAGCATGTGGTGCATACGTCTTGGGTGTATGACACGGTGAACACGCCAAGCGCGCACTGGCGCTGTATGGTGTGCGCGTGTGCGAGTGTGTGCATGCATGCGCCTGTACGTAGACACGCGTCTCATGCGCGCGCCGTGCATGCGCTGCGCGTGGGTGAGGGGAGGAAGGAAGAGGAGGGGAGGAGGGAAACGGGCACAACGCGGCCCGAAAGCAAACCAAAACCACGCGAAAGGAGCTTTTGTATGTGTGATGTGTGTATGTGTGCTGTCAGCGCTAGTACAGGTGAGAAGGAGGAGGAGGAGGATGTGAAGGTGAACGCGGGTGCGACCCGGGCGGGAGAGGAAAGCAGAAAACCACGAAACATGTAGAGAAGAGCAATTCGCAGAAATTGCCGGCTGTCTCTTTCTCTGGCCCAGGACCTCGATCCGCCGACAGTCTTCCCTACATCCAAACTCTCACCCCCCGAAGAATAGCACTCGTGCTGGCCAGTATAAGCTGTGGTGCAGAGTGCCAGCTCTGGTTTTACGGGCGCCTCTCAGGCTGGGGCTGGTGGCTCCATTCAGGGCGCCCTCTCGCCTTGCCCCTCGCCTGCTGCATCCTCCAGGCCGGCACGGTCGACGCGGCACTCTTCCTGGCAGGGGCAACCTTCCGCCTGACCCATCGTGTCCGCCTCTTCTTCTGCCAGGACCACTCCTCCTCCTGGGAGGGGCAAAAAGCGGCAACACATACACCTTCAAGACCTCCAGGACCAACTGGCACCACTAGGCCACATCCCACCAGCCCAATGGGCGGAGATGGTTTAGAGCGCCACTTGTTCCCACACCCTTTCTTCCCCCCAGGTGGGGGGTATTGCCAGGGGTTAGAGCGTCCATGACGGCATTCATGACGGTATCCGCGAGAAAACAATCATCAGCGATTCGCAAAACAGCGCTTACACTGAACAAATCTCTCGCCCGTCCTGAAGTGATTCGACGGGTCCGCCACGCATGTTCAACGTTGCCGCCCCATGGCGCATCGTGGGCGCTCGCGGGCGATCCGTGCGTTGGGTAATTTCGCCGATCTCGCGCCACGTTGCCGCACGTGCCGCATCGTGGGCGCCGCGGGCACTTCGTGGGTCCGCCGAGGTCGCGCCACGCTGCCGCCCGTGCCGCCTCGTGGGCGCATCATGGGCACCCCGTTCGCTGGGTGAGTCCACCAAGGTTGCGCCGCATTGCCGCCCGCGCCGCCTCGTGGGTGGTCGTGGACGCCCCGTGCACTGGCTGGGTCCGCCGACGGTCGCGCCGCGATGCCGCCCATGCCGCCTCGTGGGCGCTCGTGGGCCCCCCGTGCACTGAGCGTACAGCGTACACCACATAGCTTACACCGCACAGCTCACACGACATAACACGAACCAAACAGCTCACACCGCATAGCGTACACTACATACATTCTCCTCGCAAAACGAAGAAAATCCCCCCCAGAACGCAAACTTACAAGTAACCCTGGGACAATGCAAAATACACATGCTTATAGCCCGTCGTTTGTTTTCCGTGTGAACTCACACCATCGCACGCCATCGCTCCCCTCATCCCTGTCAGATAACATTATGCACGCGCTCTCTTCGTCGTAAAGCAAAATTCGCTGGTCGGTTTTGCCACCGAACAAATGTACAACGCACACGCGTGTGCACATGCCGAGATCATACGAACAACAGCAGTGGCGCAAGGATTCAAACATAACGCATTGGAGAGGCTTCGGACGTTTCATACACATGTCTCGCAAATTTACTGCCCGCGCGCATTTGCTGAGATTACCGGATAACCATATGAATTTAGACATCTCGCCCAGGATCCGCATTCTCACCTCTCCACGCGGTGCATCCGCGTTGGCCCAGCATGCGACCAGCTCACAAGTCTTACATATAGCTGTACTAATACAATGAATACCGATGTACATAACAAGCTGATCCCGCCAGACCTTCGTCCCTCTGGGGGCCGCTGGTTCGCGAGCGCCCATGGGGAGCCCAAGACGGCTCCTGATGGCTTCCAGAAGGCCCCGATCTGGGCCAAAAAAACTACAATACGCCCATGATGGACCCAAGACAGCCTCCGAGGCCCCCTTTACGCCCAAAAACACCCCAAGAGGCCTCGCAACGGAGCCCCAAAATGAATAAATCGCCAAATCCCCTTCGTACAACGTGCGTTTTCAGCATCAGCAACTTCTCCCCTTCCCGACTTTCCATGGAAGCCCAAGACTCCCCCAAGATCGCCCAAGACGGCCGGCCCAATAGGCACTCAACAGGCCCCCACGACGGCACAAGAGGACCCCAAAACTGCCTAAGACGGCCCAGGGGGGGCTCCAGAACGGCTCCCGAGAGGCACCAAAGACCCCCACAGAGGCCCCGAACAGGCCCCAGCTCCCAAACAGGCCCCCCCTCAAAAAACCCAAGATACGCCAAAACATCCCCCAAGAGGGATCAACACTGCTTCCGAAAAAAACACAATGGGAACCTTTCGGCCCGCATGGATTAGTACGGCGACGGTCAGAATATATATATATATATACACACACATACACATACACATACATGCATACATACATACATACATACATACATGCATGCATGCATGCATGCATACATACATACATACATACAAGTGTACATACATACACACATACATACATATGCAAATATAGAGGGATCTCCACATGCATGTGCATATATATATGTATGATAATATACATATATGCATAAATGTGCACGCGCACGCATGTACACATATATGTGTATGGCTGTAAACACGCGTGTATGTATGTTTGTATGTATGTATGTAGGTATGTATGTATGTGTATATATATATACACATATATATATATACACACCTGGCCTCCTTGCGGGACCATCAGGCTGCGAGGGTGAGGATTGCAACTCCCTGTTCCAGTTGCAACTTTCAGTTTTCACTGCTATAGTCCTGTTCTCTGCTTCCTTACTGCAAATTGTTGCTGAACACGCGACGGGGGAACTGCAAAACGTCCTGGCTTGCACCCCCGCGTCGCGTGCTCTGAATTCCTGGGGGGTCGTGGGACACGTAGCAATACGTGATACTCGCGGCGTCCCCGAAGCTATCGTCCATACAAAAATACGCCATGCTCGCGCCCCCGAGGCCATAAACTTTCATACATTACGCAATAGTCGCGTCCCCGAATCCATGATCCTTTTGTAGAATACTCAATATTGGCGCTTCCGACGCCGGAAGCCATAATACGCGGCCCCGAAACTATAATCTGTTGGAAATTAACAAATACACGCGTCCCCTGAACAATAAGCCATTCAATTACACCGTGTTCGTGCCCCCGAAGCCATACACCCTAACACATTACATCGTATTCGCGTCCTCGAAACCATCAGGCCTCGCAAAATTAATAATCACTCGCGTCCCCGAGCCCATAAAATCCAGCATTTAAGCAAGAAGTGCGTCCCCGGGGCCATACACCCTTACGGAATAATAGCGCCCCCGCAGCCACAAGCTCTCGAATATTAGCCAAAATTTGCGTTCTTGAAACCATAACCCGTGCAAGGTATTCAAGATCTGCAAATCCGAAGCCATGCACTCGAGTACCTTTCACGATGCTCGCACGCCCATGCGCTATGTGCGTCCCCGAGGCCATACATCCCCATAGATTACGCAATAGTCGCGTCCCCGAAGCCATAAGACATGGCAATTTACAAAACATTCGCGCCCCCAGAAACAGGAGCCCTTGCAAACCAGAAAATATTCACGCCCCCTAAACCAGACGCCCAAATAAATTCGACAATGCTCTCGCTCCCGAACCCGTGAACCTTCGAAAACTATAGAATATTCGCGTCCACGAGGCCAGCAGCCTTGTAAATTGCAACATGCCTGCGTCTCCCAGGCCACAAGCCCTTGCACATTACATCAGATTCGCACCCCCGAGGCCATTGACCGTTGCAAATAATCGTTAATTGCGCCCCCGAGGCTAAAAACCTTTGTAAAGTATACAATGCTCGCGCCCCCGAAATCATAAACCATGAAAAAACATAATACTCGCGCCACCGAATCCATAAAACCTTGTAAATTAATATTGGCCCTTGCGCGCAGCCCCGACATTGCTTCGCGTCAGCGCCCAGACAGTCCAACACAACTCTGGCAAGCCCCAATGCAAGCGAGGGGGCCGGCGGCATGGGGGCGAAACTCTTACGGATATATATATATATATATATATATATACATATATGTGTATGTTAATACATATATATATATGAACATATATAAAAATATATATGGTCGCATTTTCTAGTCAGTGACTTGCTTGGGGTTTCACGGGGCATCTGCCGAAGCACTGCTATATACTGAAGGCCTCGGCAATCATTCGGAAACTCAGCGCCCTCAACCAGGGCGCGCATTTTCCTCTGAGGCTTTGGGCTGGCCTCGGGCAGATGGAAAACTGCTGGGGAAAAACGGCGACAGGCGGAGCGCTCATCATTCCCGCGCACCGCTTCCATGATTGCTTTTTCTAGTCAGCGACTTGCCTGGGGCTTCGCAGGACATCTGCCGAGGCACTGCTATACACTGAAGGCCTCGGCGAACCTCTCGGAAATCCAAACTTCAAACCAGACATCCCGCCACCGAGCATTGCACTGATAATCGCTCACGTATAAAGTTGCCAGGCTTCTGTTATTTCCTGAAGGGAACTACTTTGGTGAAGAGTGGAGGCGAGGAAGGAGCAGAGGAGGGCAGGATAGGCGCTCTTCAACTTAGTGAGGAATTGCCCGCCAGCCTCGCCTGTTAGTTCAACGTGGGGCTTACCCGTGAACATACAGAGGCCTCGCGGCCCACGACAAAGCAAATTGTTCAACCCAGGGTCGGGCCGGCAACGCCAAAGTCGTAAACGAGCGCGGCCCCTAAAAGGCCGGCCGCAGGCACAGTCATCTACAATTCTCTCTTCGAGCAGGCCAGGCCTCCGGAGCGAAGCCCGATCAGGACGAAGCCACAGGAAACTCTGCCGGGGATTTTCCTCTCCACCATGAATATCGCGCTGGATGCACAGGCGTTGCAGCTCACACGCAATAGCACCAATGCGATTAGAGAGAATCAAGAGCTCAAGGTCGCTGCCGCGCACGCCTGGGAGCCCGAGGGGATGCGTCGGAGATCGAATTGCCTGTGGCCTTCGGCTGCGTGGCGGCGCTCTGCGCGCGCGGGTGCATCCCTCGCGCGGCGTGCCCAGGAGCGCTGCCTTCACCGCTCCTGAAACGATCCAGCCTCGCAGAACGCGCCGCGCCTCTGGGGTGGGTAGATCAAAATAACCCCACAGGGGCTTTTGACCCCCTCCCCCCCCCCCCAATAGCGCGCAAATATATGGTTGTGTCGCGGGCTTATTGACGGACTGGGACCCCAGCAATGATGGAAAATATTATTTTCCGCGTGGAACTCGGGCCCCACGGGGGGGGAGGGAACCCGCGAGGACCGCGGGAAACTTCATCCTCGATTTATCCATCCTAAGGAAAATGTGCGACTGCCTGCGGAGAACGCAAGGACAACCTAGGAAAACCGAAAGACAACCTAAGGAAAACCGGAGGACAACCTAAGGAACATTCAAGGACAACCCAAGGACAACCTAAGGACAACCTAAGGAAAACCAAAGGAAAACCTAAGGAACACCAAAGGAAAACCTCAGGAACACCTAAGGAACACCTAAAG